ATCTTGAGTGGCAAGCACGACTCCAAGGGGTCTTCTCTCATTCTTCTTTGCTACGGCACAAGGGTGAAAGGGTGTGAAATTGGGTATGGTGAATGGATGTTGCGGAATTGTGGGTGTGGAAGGGAAGAATGATGGCTGAATAGGTGAATGATTGTGTGTATATGTATATGGGTGCGGCAAAGTGTATGTATTTTAGGGCAAGGATCATGACTTTAATTCAATGTTTTAGGAAAGATTTAGACCCCAAATCCTCAAGGCAAAGTGTAATTAAAGTCAGAATCCTAGGGGAGAAAGGATAGGAAAGTTGCGGCAAGGGATGAAAATAGGAAAGGTGTTTCCCTTGCACGGCAAGGGAAAGGGAAAAGGAGAGTTGGTGCGACAAGGACCCTTTGGCTGGGATTAAGGCTTCTAGAACTAATATTTAAGTGTCCTAAATTGATTAGGAACCCCTTTGATAGCTGGAACATAAGTAGGAAAAGATTAGGATTGACTAAGTCAAAATAAGGATGTTTGACTCATGTTTCCTTCTTTGTGACTGATTCCTTTTCTTCCAAGTCTTGAATTAATTTCTTCCATCTCTTTAGCAGATTCCTAGCCTCCTTTGGTCTTCAATTTCGTCCATCCACCTTGCTCCATGCATGTGTTATCCATTCCAAGCCCAAAATTGCTCCAAAATGCTCCAAATTGCCTTTTCTTGCCACTTTAACCATTTGGACCTACAAACACACGAAAATAGCTTAAAATACTAAAATAACTAAGAACTAACAACATAAATGTAAGAAAACAAGCTAACTAAGTAGCATAAAAATGCTCCTATCAGTAGACCTCCATGGTTACTTAAATTTGCTTCTTGAACATCATGTTTACTAACCTCTTCTATGAATCTGGCCTCCAGTAGCTTGTCAATTTCTGCTTTGATGATCGTCACTCATTCGGGTGCAAAATGCCTTCTTTTTTAGATCATCGGTTTGGCAGTGGGGTCAACGTATAACTTATGGCAAACTATCTCGGGATCGATGTCAGGCATGTCGGAAGGTAACCATACAAATACGTCACAATTTTCTCAAAGGAAAGCCGTAAGTTCTTCTTTCTCAGCTGGGCTTAGATGTGAACCGATTCTAGCCATCTTTTCTGGTTGTTGAGGATCAAGAATGATGTCATCGGCGTCCTCTTCGAGTTTCCATCTTATCTCATTTGCTTGGGTACCATCTTCTTGATCCACTTGCTGTAATTGCTATTGGGTAGCTTCTTTGTCCTTTTAGACCTCAGTAGCCTCTATGGTGGTAAAGGTCTTCTTCTTTGATTCCTTCAATACTTGCACAGTGCATTGTGGAGATGCGGCCTAGTTAGACTTGATTTCTCTGACTCCTCCTCCTGGGATACGGAATCGAATTTTTTTATACTTGATGGAAGTGACGACATCCAGCTTGATCAACCAAGGTCTCCCAAGAATCCCATTGTAGGGAGATGGGTCGCTTATGATTGTGAATGTCTACTTTGAGACAGCTTATGATTGTGAATGTCTACTTTGAGACAACTAGCGGTGTTTTCACATCAAGTGTGATGTGGCCGATGGTAGTCGAGGTGTGCCCGTTGAATCCGGTGAGTACCTTTGCTCGGCGTATGATTGTGTTTTCCAGGCCCATCTTCTGAATTACTGAGAGTTGAAGTAGGTTGATTGCACTTCCATTATCAACCATCATTATGTTGACTATAGCATGGGCTAGTTGGATAAATATTACTAGTGCATCGTCGTGTGGGAAGTCGACGCCTTCTGCATCCTACTCGGTGAAGCCAACAATGGGTCCAAGTTGGGTGTCGACTGCTTGGACCTATGAGACTAGTAGAGCCTGCTAGATCTTCCTCTTTTTGGAGTTGTTGGTGGTCCCTAAGTGTTCAGATTCGGCGAAGATGACATTGATCCGAATCGTCTTGGTTGGTGGCTCTTCGTTGTCGTCTGCGTTCCTTCTAAGCTGCACAGCTGGCTTGTCCAAGTATCTGTTGACCTTGCCTTTTTTCACGAGCTTTTCCAGGTAGTTTTTCCAAGTGTAGCAGTCGTCGGTTGTGTGACCGGGTCCTCGGTGGAATACGCAATACTTGGTATGATCGAACTTAGAAGTAACTCTCTTTGCTTGTTTCGGCAGCTTGAACCATGGCTCGTTCTTGATGTTGCAAAAGATTTGGTGGATCGAGATTGAGAACTTAGAGTAGTTCCTGGTTGTTGGGCCTTCCTTGGTCGTGGGTCGGTCCCTACGCTTGGCCTTTTACCTGCTTTTGATGGACTATTTCCCATCCTCCTTCGTTTGAGCCACTGTCGACTCTTTTCGAGGCTACTTGGGTGTCATGTCTACTTGTCGAGCCTCGTCCCAAAGTGCATGCTTCTTTGCTAGAGCGAAAAGTTTGCCAGAGTTAGATCTTCTTTCATGATTAATTCTTCGAACAGTGGGTGGTCTGCTAGGAGTCATTGTTGGAAGGCTGCAGTTGCTATCGAGTCGTCGCATCTGACTATCTTCGCCTTCTCTACTTTGAACCTCTCCACATAGTCGCAGAACGACTCCTTTAGATTCTTCTTCACATTGAGCAAATGGTCAGACTTCTTCTTAATCGAGCGGTAGGATGAGTATTCTTTAGTGAAAACCAAGGAAAGATCGTCAAAACTCCGGATGGATCGTGGCAGTAAGGTATGGAACCAATCTTGCGCTTCGCCTCGCAAAGTGGTGGCAAATATCTTGCACATAAGAGCATCATTGTTCCAGTAAAGGACCATTGTGCTTCAGTAGTGCTTCAAGTGCCTTTTCGAATCTCCATCTCCTTTGAAAGATGTGAAATGTGGCATGCTAAACTTGAGTGGAGGCTCTGCCTGCTCGATCTCGTCTGTGAGAGGTAACCTGCTCATGTTGGTCATGTCCCATTGTAGTGCTTCATTGGCCACTTCGTTGCATTGGAACTCACACAATCGCTTGTTTAAGAGTCTTTCTACCTCTTCCTAAATTTGCCTTTGTTGGGATAGCGGAGCTCTCGGCTGCCTCCGGTCTTGACCTGCTGGTCTAGGCTGCTCTTCTACATGCTCGGCTCATTTATGCTGCGGTGGTGGTGCATGTGGTTCGTTCTTAGCAGGCGAGAGAATTATTCGTTAGCTGTCGGTTGAACTTGAACCAGATTGAGTGACTGCTTCTCTCCGTCCGTCATGCTACCTACTCCAATGTGATGTGGAGGATGTTCCTTGCGGGCCTAGCCTCGAATGAACGCTTTGCCTGGAAGGCTGCTCATGTTGATTATCAAAGTGTGGCCCCAACCATGAGTGTATGCTCGTCCATGGGCCTAGTCGAGAGTGCACGCTCATTTGCAGGCTAAGACGAGAGTATACGCAATCTCGAGGGCCCAATCGGGAGTGTACATTGCCCGAACGCTTGATTCGTGGTTGGTAGAGTGGCTGCTTGCCGGGATACTGCTGGAGAGGCTCCTTATTTGCCCTTGTCCTACTTCAAGACACCTCGTGTGAGGCACGTTGGATGTCGGTGCACTGTAAGAGCTGATTCACCAAGGTCGTTTGCCGTGCAAGGGGGCTTGTCAAATCTATGACTTGTCGAGAATAGTGTTGTTCGCCATTTGGATTGGAAGAGCTTAGAAGAACCTTCAATGAATGTGGGGGCTTTGGCTGAAGAACCTCCGATGCCAAAGTTAGAGTTTTGAGGGAAAAGTGTTTGAAGAATTTAGAGAATTTTGCAAGAGGATTCAACTTAAGGTTTTAGAGAAAATGAAGTGGTATTTATAGGGTATGGTCGGCTCTATTAGGAGAATGAGGATCAGCCATATGAGGTATTTTTTGGTTTTAATTACAATCAATTAGCTAAATAATAAATCAATTAGTTAGCTAATTAATATAATTTGAAAGAAATAATTTGAGAATTACCTTGTGGGGAGGATTTGATGAAGATGGATGAAATAGGTTTTGAATAAATAACTATTTTGATCACTTTTGACCTTGATTGAGTGATGAATGTTTGCTGCTAGCGCGTAGAAGCTTCGTTGTGCCTCGAGGATAATTTTGTCTTTTCACCATAGAATCCACGTGTCGCTTCTATATTTTTCTTGATTATTTTTGGCTCCACAATTGCTGACGTGGACTTTTTGTACATAAAATCCATGGTAAAATTTGGGTCGAAAGGGTTTGTATATTTATTGTTGAATTTAATTTTCGGTTTAGTAATGGGCCCATTGAACCGGCTATAAAATGGCTAATTTTCCAAGTGTTGAGCATTCATTCATGTCTAGTCACTAGTCGAGTATTTATCAAATATAATAAAAAATTAACCCTTAATTTCAAAAATGTCACTTTTTATAAAATCTTTCAAATGTATTCAAAATTCCACCTAAATAGATACAAATACTCTCAAATTTAACAATAAAATAAATTAAAGGTTTTTTAGCCAAAATGATTTGTGACATTGACATAACTCCTTAATCTGGTTCTTAACAATTAATGATAATCAATAGTAGTGTTCTTGAATTTGTCTATTGTGAATTATTTTAGTTTTTCTTTGAAATTGTCCATCGTGAGCAATTTAGTTTTTTCATGAAATATCTATCAATTGCTCTGTTAGTGTGATGATGTGGTGCCACGTGGGTCTCACAAATACAATCATATAACGACATGTGGATTAACTTTAGAAACTATTTTTATATTTAAATCTAAAAATGATATTAGTAAGAAAAAAGGCTTTGTAGGCATGATTGAAATTCTGCTGCTCCCACTTGCGGTAATCACGACAACACTCAATGTCGGTGAGGAGGGGGTTGAAGGGGATAGGGTTGTGGTGGTGGAGTGTAGAAGCGAAGGTGAAGTTGGACCAGAGCTTGAAGCGACAGTAGCTAAAAAGCTTTTAATTTATTTAATTATTAAATTTAACGGTATTTGTGTTTATTTAAGCGAAATTTTAGATATATAATATTTGAAGGTTTTTATAAAAAAGTTACATTTTTGAAATTAAGCATTAATTTTTTGCTATATTTGATAAATTCTTTCGAGGCGGAAAGGAGCAGCAGGGAACAGAGAGGGAGAGAGAGAGGTGTCTGATTGTCTCCGTCAACTTGCCACCGGCGTTGAAGAATTCTCCACTTTCCGATCGACGGCGGTGATCGATCTGTAAATGCCATGAAAGAATTCGTAAAACCTTTCCATGTATTCCGTTTTCGGATAATTACAATTCCTTGTATTATCTATTTTGATTAAATTCTCTCTCTCTCTCTCGTCTCTGCTCCCCCCACTCTCCCATTACCTGCATTATCTGCCATAATACGACGACGTCGCAGTTGCACCTTCTGGCTTCCCTCAGTCTCCGCCGCGACTTTGCCTTTACAGCCAAGAAAGAAAGGTAAGCTTCACTTCACTCCCCGCATTTCAATTTCTTGGTATTGTCGTGAATTTTAATTTTGATTATCTGTTTGGCTTCCTGGAGAATCATAAGATAATAAATCAACAAAACCACAGCAAAACACTTGAATTGATTACGTCACACTCGTTTGTTACTGTTAGGGTTTTGATTTCCTTTTGTTTAATTTTTTGTTTAATCAACCGTCATTGGCCGTGCCAGACTGCCAGTGCCAATCATCTCTTTCGGGTTTTGTTGATTTTCATGTTTGTTTATTTAGGTCAGCGCCAGGAGGGAAGCGGTATAATGCTTCGTTTTAGTAATATACATCAAATGTAAATTACCTGAGTTAATATTATACTGCATTCAGATTTCAGAGGCTAGACTCAATATAGTTTAGATGGAGGACAAGGAAAAGTTGCACAATGAATCCAATACCAAACAGCACGAGTCCAAGGAGGATCAAACTGGGCAGCTACCTCAATTGGAAACCAACGATCAAGTTATGAGACATGTTACTGTGATCAACCCGCCTACTCATGAGGCAAATGTTGCTGATGTTAAAGTCAATGAGGCTCTTCTTAGTGATGTGCCCATACAACACAAGGACAATGCCAGCAATGCCAGTGTTAGGAATCAGCTCAAAACTGTAGATAAACAAGTGGGAGTAGGGGAGTTGAAGAATGGGTTGAACGATACCGAGGTATCCTACTTTGAGCATATATACTTATCCAGATATAATGTTTTGCTTCTGAATGACTTGACTCAAATGAGTATTCTGAGTTACGCAAAATTTCTCGATTGGATTTTTTTCTTTTCCCTTCAAGTTTCCTGTTTCCTTTTCTACAACAATTATTTTCTTTTCTAATTTGCAGATGGTTGAGGCTGAGGAATCTGGGGATGGGACACCATCGCAGCAAGCAGCATTTACGAAGGAGGTGGAAAGTTTCTATAGGGAGAATGCCTTAGAGTTTAAGGCCCCAAAGTTTTATGGAGAGCCGCTGAATTGCCTTAAGTAAGTTTCTGGTGATAATTATTTTCAGTATTGAATCATGTTTGTATTTTGCGTATAAAAAGGAGTTGTGTGTGTCTGAAGGCTGAAATCAGGTGTTGACTAGTTTCTGCAATCTTTCTGTGGGATGTAGGTTATGGAGAGCTGTTACTAGATTGGGTGGCTATGACGTGGTATGTATACTTCTTGTTGCATGTTGGAATAATTAAACTTAAAGCTCAGCATAATCTTACATCTGTTGGCAATCGTCGATTTCTGTTATGCATGTACACAGCATTGCAAAGAATGGTTGCACTCAAGTAGAATTTGATTCAAAGTTTCACAGGCTTTGCTGGTTTATAAGTTTTAAGTGTTTTTACCAAACCATGCCAAGCTCAATAAAGTTATGTTTGTCCTATCACTAATGCATTCTCTGGTGTCAAATGCTGGGATCATATGATGGATGCATGGTTTTTCAATAAATAGTTTTTGTTACTTCCAAATTGACCTGATTGGTTATACTAGAGTTGGTGGCAGTTGAAATATAGAATGCTCATTCATGGAGTCTAAGAGAAAATTTGGTAAATATATACAGTGCTTTTGGTAAATTTTGGTAACTTATTTTTATTTTTCTATCACGGTTGATGAAAGAAGCATAGAAAAAAGAGAACACAATAATGGTTCCTATCTAATACATTTTTGGGGCGTTTTTATATCATTCTCTTGTTGTTTCCACTCGTATTTGACTCAACTTTAACGATATACCTGGAGAAGAAAAAATGAAAGAAACAGGAAAAACAAGATGATGATATTTGATGGAACTTTGAGACAAATAGAACAATTCTTCAAGGGTATAAAGTTCCTATTGGGTATACAAAGTTTTGAAATTACTAGGGGATTTCTATTTGTCTTTAACCTACTCTAACCAATAAGTTGGATTTGTGTTAGAGGTTTTCTATCCCAAACACTTGGCTGTCAAAAGCATAAGTTTTGAACTACCTTTGTTGTAAGCTTAACTTCTATGTCTTAATCCATTAGATTGTAGAATGTGTTATTGTAATTAGTATTGCTGGATGTTAAAGCCATTAACCATCCAAGAATAGTATTGATTTGAATGGTTATCACATTTGGAGCAAAAATTTATGAAAGCTTCAAGTCTGATCTTGTGTTCTCAGTTTCAATAGGCGTAATAAGTATTCAGCGAAAATGAGTGAGTTATTTACATTGGCATTCCATATAGTAAGTTTCCCAAAATACCCTAAAATAGGAGGAAATCTTAATAATTAGACCTAATACCATAGAAAACTTCCTAATTTTCTATAAATTTAGCCAAATATACAGTCAACTCCTAAATTATTTCTAACACTTGAAAGCAAATAAAATAAGGGTGGTCTTTTTCACACGCCCTAAAATAAGGCTAATTGTTAGGCTTTTGCTTATGGATAGAATGAAGAGTAAACTCCCGAATTGCCCCTTGAACTATCACCCAAGTTGAAAATTTCAAAAAATGAAGGACCTGAAACTCTTAAAAACAGCCAATTTTTCTCCTTGGCCATTTGATTTCATTCATCTTATGTCAAACTGAAGGGTTTTTATTTTTTATTTTTTTATTTTTGTGTCTTCTCCTGTCCATTCCCAGCACCCACCCATAAAAAGGGTCCACGACTCCACGCAGACATAAAAAAATATTAGAGAAAATGTTAGAGAAAAAAAGAGAAGAAGAGAAAATGTTGTTTAAAAAAAATAATCAGAGAAAAAAATTGGGTTGCTGCAATGGAATGGGGATCTGGGTTGTGGATAGGTATGGGACAGCAGGGTAGTGGGGAACGGCAGGGGACAAGGAAGCTGGTGGTCAGTAAACGGTGTCCAAAATCTTGATTCAATTGTCTTGGAATCACTCCAATGCAAGTTAGGCAACCCATGCTGCACACACAAGCAGGGATGGAGCATTGTTCAGACCAAAATTTTCATGCATCCTTTAATGCGATTTAATAGATATTTATTAATAGAAGTTTTCTTGTGTTTGTGTGATCCTAATTGTGAATCTAGGATGGTGTGTGGTGTGAGGTGAAGTGGTTTGGTGGCAGGAAGTTTGTGTTGAGCTGTTTCTAAGTGCTAGTTTTAAACTTTTAGCAGAACTGAGTTGGAGTTCTTGAGTAAAAATCTTATCCAAGTTGTACCTACTCCTTACCCTTGTTTCATCTTTATGTCAATGATGGATATGAGTGGCACTTCCCTAATTATTTTTCAAGAAGATAGAAGATAGGTTTGAAGTTATCAATGTCTTTTCATGTTTGAAGTAAAAAAAAGAGTTTTTGAGTCACCTATCAGCAAGCCATTGGAACAGAGTTCTTTGTCTGAGTTGTGTTCTGGACACGTATGAACTTTATGCAGTGGCTTGAATGTAGTCTATTTAATGGTACTTTCCTTAATTTGTTTGGGAACTTTCCATTATTCGATGTTCTATTAATTGTGTTATTTAATTTGAATTTTATTCAATGTTTTAAAAGGCTCGCCTCAAGGCGTGCCTAGACGCCCTCTGAGGCTGGGCTTGTGGGTTGCCGCCTTTGTTTTGAGGGAGTGGGCGTAAGGCTTCACCAGAGCCGCCTAAGCGGCGGAAGGCATCGTCGGAGCTGCCTAGGCGGCAGAAGGCGCGCCTCAGGGCTTTTTTGTTTTTTTTTTAACTCACAAACCCAAAGTTTGGGTAGGGTTTTAATTGCCTCATACCTCTTCCTTGCACTATCGTCTCTCTGCCTTTTTATTTATTTTTTTATTTTTTATATAATGGATGTGAGTGCTGTTTGCGTGCATTGTTATATGTGTGCTCATTGTGCTTTATATGTATATATGTAATATAATATATAATATATATCTATATATGTGTGTATATATATTTATAATATATGAGTGTGCTCAGGGTGATTATTGGTTAATAATCTTCTGTTTTTTTTAATATAATATATTTGTACGCTTAGCGTATATATTAAAAAATTTAGGTCCTGTGAGGCTTCGCCTCACGCCTAGGCCAGGCTATCCCTCGGACACCTCGCCCACGCCTCACGCTTTTAATACACTGATTTTATATCACATTTTGATTTGGACTAACCTCTAGACTTCATGCAACTATTTTTTAAGACTGAAAAATGGGAAGAATGTTGACCAAAGAAACATAACTGACATGGAAGTGGAGTTGGACACAGACATCCTATTTGAATAGCCTTCTGTAGGAAGTTGACCATGGCCTTGAATACATAGGAAACTGTTTTTTTTATTCACATTCAGTTGTTCCTCTGTTAATCCATTATTCCATTGTAGTAAACTTTGCCTTTTCCTGCGCATGTCTAAACCCTAAACCCTATTAATAAGTAAGAGAATGTTATTATTTTATTTTATAATTATTTGCTAAAAAATTCTAGCTGCCGAAGCTTTACTATCACTAAAGCCATAATTTATAAGCTACAAGTCCTGAGGAGTATTTTGAAAATTTTCTGAACGCTTGGTCATATTTAATTTATGAATCTGGATTAAATTAGATTAATTTATGTGCTTAAGATATGTTTAAATATTTATTAATTGAATTATACTATGGCAACTGTAGGTGACTGCATCAAAGTTGTGGCGGCAAGTAGGAGAGTCCTTCCATCCCCCCAAGTATGGAACATTATGTTTACGGTTGACTTCTAGCAGTCATTTAGGACCTGCATTATTCTTACTAAAAATTCAAGACCTTGGTCACTGCTATAAAAATTTACAACCGGCTGACATTTGGGAGATGAGATGTTCTACTGTTGCAGGTTGTTGCAAGTTTTGGTTTGTAAGGTGCATATAGCCTGTGTCCTCCCCAATAATAAAGAAAATATTTATTTCTGCTTGCATTGCTTTGACATTTGTGTTTAGCTTTTTTTTTTTTTTTCCATTGGAGGCCATGGTGGATTTTGGTTTGTAACCTGCATATAGCTCATGTCCCTGAAAGAAAACGTTTCAAGACACCTGACATTATTACTGCTATATTTCTGCTATATTTCCATTCTTATCTTTTTATATTTTGGTTGCTAGCTTCATCTTATCCTATGTTGCTGGGTGTATTACATCTCTGTTTTATTTATTTTCATCTTTTAATATCTGCAAATTCAGAGTCCAATTTACTGTATCTCTTTCTCTCCCTCAGGACGTGCACAACAGTATCTTGGACATTCCGCATATTTTATGAGAAGGTAATGCCTTTTTCCAGGGATAAGATAAACATTAACTGTTCATGATATCGGCAACTACAAATCTTGCTCCCTTGGTAGAAACTTGATTTTGTGGTAAACATTAACTCTTCACGATCACTAGACAACGTGTGCTTCTATTTATTTAGAAATTAGTAATGGTAACTGGGTAGCGGGTACGTGCCACAATCATAAACATGACGTGGATTTTCTAGTTAATGATTTAAAATACTTAGAATAAAGTATATTTGTTATTTCATGGACATTATGGGGATATGAGCCCACTTAAAATGAATTCTATGAGTTTGTTGCTACTAGGGCTCATTTGGAAGTGCTTTTAAAATGACTGAAAGTGCTTTTAGCAAAAATGTTTTTGGGTTATAAAATCATTTAAAGTGCTTCCTGCAAGAAGCACCGGTTATGTGCTTCTTTCAAGAAGCACTTTAAGTGCATTTTGAGGATTCACTTGCATTTTTATAGAAGATTGGTTCCAAAAACATATTGCCCAGAAGTGCTTTCAATCATTTTAAAAGTACTTCCAAATGAGCTCTCTGTTTCTCTAGTATATGGTCAAGGGTTGTTTCAGTAATGGCATCAAATTGCTAGTTGTTGCGGAAGCTTTGGATTGTTTCACGCGTCCTCTATTCCCTAAGCTTATCAACTTGTGCAGGCACTTTTGGAATATGAGAAGCATAAGAGGAAATATGGTGAGCTTCGACTTCCTGTGGGACCCATCACTCAATCTGCAAGTGTTGAGAAGGAGGTGGATTTTCCATTTGTTTACATTTTAGTTCTCGATTGCATCTGGATTTTCCACTTTTTTGGCTAGGTTAATAGGATTGTTGAATTAACTGACCATAAAAATTTCATGGTGTTGTCACTTTTGTAGTTGCCTTTCTGAATGTTCAGCATAATGTTGTGTCACAGGCTCCATAAAAGTCCACTGCTAAGGCTGCCATGCACTGATATTGCCTCACTTAACCACCTAGGCCCAATCCTCTAGGTGATATCAAGCCCAATGGACCTTAGGTGTGGGGTTTTATCTCAAAAGGCCTTAATGCAATTAGAAGTGGAACACCTATATTTAAACCTTAGATTATTGTTGTACTTCTCTGATGTGCAATTCTCTACACATCCATCTTGGCTTATATCAAGCCAACCTTTTACACCAACAATCTTCCACCCGAGAACAAGCCAAGGTAATGCCATCCTTCACAACAACCTGCACGTTTCCAAGAATGGTATGGTCGCCGCACCCACAACTCTACCTCCTTCGGCAATGATTTTTCTTTAAGCCCCACTAGGAGCCCTTGCTCCACCTAGCTCCTGGCAGACTAGGATTTCCAGAGCCCTGCTCTACTAGCCATGCTCCACCTTTTTCCACCGGTCCTCCAAGAGTAATAAGGCTGTCATGCACCGATGTTGTCCCCACTGAACCACCTAGAACAATCCCCTGGGTGGTATCGCCCAATGGACCTTAGGTGTGGGGTTTTATTTAAAAAGGCATCGGTGCAATTAGAAGTGGAACACCTATATTTAAACCTTAGATTATTGTTGTACTTCTCCGATGTGGGATTCTCTTCACATCCATCTTGGCTTGTATGGAGCCAACTTTTTAGGCCAATACATAAGGTCTCTTAACTGCATAGTGTATACAATGGACACCTGTCCCTTCCTCTTCCAGTGACACTTATATTTTTCTTTTGTGTAGGCAAGTGCTCATCAAGCTCTTGGATCAGGCAGGGCACGAAGAAATGCTGCAGCTCGTGCAATGCAGGGTTGGCATGCACAGCGTCTTGTTGGATATGGTGACGTTGCCGAGCCTATTATTAAGGTTTGTTGATTCTCTCTGTCTCGCTATAATGATTGTACTTATTAATATTATTTAAGTTTTGTATGCCTGGATTGGAAAGGTTGGACACCATTTAATACATTTCAAAATTTTCTTTTGAAATTTCTTTTACTTATAGGACAAGCACTTGAGTTCTACCCCAAAGCGTGAAAAGAGTCTTAAAAGCATTGGTATGTTCCCCTGCAAAGAAAATCCTTCTGGCCAATCAATATTTTATTGCCAATATACATTTACTGTTTACATTGTCTTGTCAGGTTCGGTTAAACACAGGCCACCAACAAACATGGAGCTTGCAACTACAAATATTGAGGCAGATAAGCAGTTAAGATTGTTACTTGCTGGTCATTCCTGTAAATATATTTATTTTGCTATGATTTCCATGTTCTTGACCAACTCTTCTTCTCCTTACTTGTTCCAGTTGAATGATTTTACTTTCATGCATTGCTAAAATGTGATGGTATGTTAACATTCATTTGAAATTTTTGGAGTCTGTTTTGATATGCTTGAATTTGGAATAAACTTTACTAAGAATAATTGTGTGCACATTGAGGCTGCATTTAATTACCCTTCTGTTTTTTTTTCCTCATCAAATCAATGCGACATGGTTTTCATTTGGTAGGATAGTCACGACTGTTGTTGATCTTGGACCTCCAGCTGATTGGGTGAAGGTCAATGTACGAGAAACTGTAAGTGTGTTTTATATTACTTTTCCTAATATGCTTCCCTATATTGTAGATTTGATTGAATTGCTGGCTATCTTTTGTTGGTCCTGACAACTTTCATCTCTACATGCTCAGAAAGATTGCTTTGAGGTATATGCTTTGGTTCCTGGTCTTCTGCGTGAGGAGGTAAACCCTTGTTACCCTCTTCCTTCCACTCTTCTATTTACCTCTCTTTTGTGCTGGTTTATATACTGTATGATAACATGGGGATTTTAGCATGATCTTGTTTAAATAGTTATGATTGGATGGCTATGATTAATCAGATGCACTGTGGTGGTTATGTTAAGATATTTTATTACCACTCTGGCATTAATTCATTCACTAGTCTTATGGCTACTAGTGTGAGATCCCACATCGTCCAGGGCTGAGGATCTTATAAGCTTTATATGTATTTTTCTATCTCTACTTAGCGTCAGGCCTTTGGGGAGCTCACTGACTTCGGGTTCCATTGGAACTACGAAGTTAAGCGAGATTGGGCTGGAGCAATCCCAGGATGGGTGGCTCACTAGGAAGTTTTGCTCGTGTGAGTTCCCAAAAACAAAATCGTGAAGGCGTGGTCGGGGTCCAAAGCGGACAATATCGTGCTACAGTAGAGTCGAGCCCAGGATGTGGTGGGGGCCCGGGCTGGGATGTGACAATTTGGTATCAGAGCCAATCCCTGGCCGGAAATATTCTGTCAAAATGTGAATAACTAAGAACCAAGCTAACTAATTTACACTTAAGGAAATAAAAGTGCAATCCCGATATTTAAGTGTGGTTACACAATAATCAAAACATAGGTAGCCAAAGTGCAGTCCAGCAGGACAAATACTAATTATACAATACTAGAGGTGGTCCTACATTAGTGATAATCTGTCAGAACCGCAGTTAATTCCCCATAAGCCATCAACAAGCACTCCTACCTAAAACTTGGAGGGGCGCAAAACAAAAAGTGTAAGTGGGCAAAAACAAAACTTTTCAAAATTATTTCACTTATCAAAGGGAATAACCCCTCGCTGTAAGACCTATATAATTTCCCAGAAAATAGAATACATACGTATGTCAAAACCATGCTCGGAATAGTAAAATCCACATATGTGCCATGTCAAATATCTTAGCATAAAATATGTAAGCCAGGTGATATAAACCAATGCAAATGATATGTCAGCCGGAGTCACTTAATATGCCCTGTACGGCTGAATCTATTGCTCATCCATCTAGTCGGAGTCACCTAATTTGACCTGCACAGCTCAACCAGTAGCTCAACAAGTATGCCTGCATACGAGTCGGAACCACCTAAAGCGGTCTGTACGACAGGACTGGGTGTAAATAAATACACTCAAGTGCTACGATCACGTGAAGACTGTGCGAATGATCGCAGGGCACTTACGAGTCGAAACCACCTATAGTGGTCTATACGACAGGACTATGCACCTAACTTGGATCCAAGGTGAGTATGATACGGGAGGTGAACATCACGTGAAGGATTGTGGCCTGACCACGGGTGGGAGCACTAACACCAGGGTGCAAGTTTATGAGCTATAACACATCTCAACATAATCATGCAACTCACATCCACAATCTATAAACTCAATTGGCACTTACCTAAGCTTCTGCAGCGTCAAACATAAATATGTGAAACTACTAAATACATATTCTAAGTACAAAATATTTGGCATGGCATTTCAAAACATAAGTCCATTTAAATGAGTTTCTGGGAAAAATACCAAACATATATATATATTGAAAGCCAAAAGCCTGCTCACTGATGTGGCAAGGTCGTAACCCCCGAGCCTCGCCTGAATGCGCTCGTCCTCTAGAAACGTCTCACCTATATATGAAACAACTATTTTAATTTTAAGCACATAACCAAAATTAGGTGATAACTTCTTATACATTGCTCAATTGGGGTATTTGAATATATCATCGTGGCCTATTTAACCCTACGAACATCCCCATATTTTTAGAATAATTTTCTAAGTTCCCACGCGCCCTCACGCGCCGGCCAAGGCACGGCCAAACGCACCACCCACGTGCAAGCACATGCCTGGCACACTGACGGATTTCCTAACGGCATTAAGGAATATTCCGTTAAATAACAGCATATACCGTTAATTTTACCTGACGCTGTTAGCATATTCTGTCAAAATTAGACGGAATATTCTCCTTCTTCTTTGATGGTTCGCCAGATTTCGACGCCGGCCACCGCTGCACTCGTCGGTTTCTGGAAAAACTTAAAACTTTCGTCGCCATTTCTCAACCAAATTTCATGAAATTTGTACCAAAATGAAGCTCTAAACGATTAGAACTAGTTCTTTACCACTTTTACATCCTAAACCCAACGGAAAATGGCCAGTAAAATCCTTGAAAAACCAGCTATTCCTGCAATCCCACAACCAAGCTCATTTCGACGTCCAAACTTGACCAAAACTACCCTAACATGCTAGAGAAGATGAATTCTTAACTTCTTAAGTCTTAAATCCAGCTAACATCTTCTCGATCACACAGAAGAAAATTCCACTCCTTACCGGAGCTCGGGCATCTTGAGTTCTACTAGTCTTTTCCTCAAACCAAAGGCATGGCTCGACTCCAAGGCTTGCAAGGAGTTCAAAAACAAACTCTATTAGCTCGATCTGTAAGAGATGAAGCTAGTAGAGAGATTGGACGTACGAATTGTACGGACGAGGAAGACTCGAGAGAGGGAGAGAGAGGTCTATACATGTGTGTGCACGTGTGTGTGTGTGTCCAGATTGGGTATCCATATAAAATCGTTAAGCCCTAATTGGGCTACCAATTCTAGGCTAAGATTCATCCAAAACAATCCCAAGTTTCAATTGGGTCAAAAGAAGTAGGAAATGAAAATATTTAGTCCATTTTCTTAGCCCAATGATATATTCACAACTCAACGCTCAAGTGTAAAATAGTCATTCCACGTTATAAAGGATAAAATATATTATATTTCGGGACGGGTTGTCACAACCTACCCCCTTAAGAAAATTTCGTCCCCGAAATTTCATACAATAATAAACAACCATTAATATCCAATAAACAAGCGTGGGTACAAATCCCTCATACGATCCTCCATCTCCCAAGTGGCTTCCTCCACCAAATGATTTCTCCACAAAACTTTCACTAAGCGTATGGTCTTATTCTTCAAAACCTTATCTTTCCAATCTAAAATCGTCACTGACTCCTCGTCATAAGTTAAATATGGATTAATTTCCAATGGTTGAGGAGGTATCACATGTGATGGATCTGAGACATAATGACGAAGCATGGAAACATGAAAAACATTGTGCACTTTAGATAACTCTGGAGGTAACCCAAGCCTGTAAGCAACTTCACTGACTTGCTCGATGATCTGATACGGTCCGATGTACCTAGGACTTAGCTTACCCTTTTTCCCGAACCGTATTACACCTTTCCACGGTAATAACTTTAAAAACACCAAATCACCAACTTTATACACCTGATCAGTGGCATGCTTGTCTGCTAGACTCTTTCGATCGTGGACCGCTTTCAGGTTAGACTTAATTACCTGAATATTCTGAGTAGTCTCATCTACAATCTAAGGGCCCACCAATACTCTTTCACCAACCTCTGACCAGCATAATGACGTACGACAACACTTAGCATAAAGTGCCTCAAAAGGTGACATACCAATGCTCGAATGATGGTTGTTATTGTAGGCGAATTCCATCAAATCTGAACATTTATGCCAAGTATTACCAAACTGCAATACTGAAGATCTTAGCATATCCTCTAATGTTTAAATAGTCCTCTTAGATTGCTTGTCTGTTTAAGGATGATGTGATATACTATAGAGTAACCTCGAACCAAGAGCCTCCTGAAATGCCACTCAGAACTTAGAAGTGAACCTAGAATCCTAATCAGAAATAATACTAACTAGAACCTCATGGTATTTAACAATCTTTTATATGAATAACTCAGCTAATCGGCTTAAAGAATATTTCTCCCTTACTGGAATGAAGTGCGTTGATTTAGTAAGCCGATCCACAATCACCCAAATACCATCATAACCATTTCGTGTACGAGGAAGTTTATATACGAAATCTATGGTGATATCTTCCTATTTCCACTGTGGTATGGGAAGTGGCTACATCAATCCAAATGGCTTTTTCCTTTCAGCTTTGACCTGTTGATAAATGGCACACCACGTACATTCGTCTCTCTTGCATAAGCATACCATCAGACTCTCGAACTCTAAGATCTTTCTTTTTCCTTCGTGATAAAATCTGAATTAACTCTTGGGTTTCTTCATCATTCATCTGAGCCTCGAGCACACGATTAATTCAAATTGGTCTGACCTGGAAACTAGCAAGCAAAGCTTCCTCCCGATCTTCCACCCCTAATTTCACTTCAGTGGATCTCAAATTTGTAAGAAGAGGGATACAACAAGCATATAAAGCATTAATTCGGCCTTGAGACTTCCTACTAAGTGCGTCTGCCACCACATTTGCACGACCAAGGTGATACTCAATCGTGCAATCATAATCACCGAGCAATTCTATCCATCTTCATTGTCGAAGATTAAGATCATTCTGAGTGAAAAGATACTGAAGACTTTTATGATCCGTAAAAATCTTACATTTTTTACCATAAAGATAATATTTCCAAATCTTCAAGACAAAGATAATGACTGCTAATTCAAGATCATTAGTAGGATAATTCATCTCATGATGCTTCAACTGTACCATGCTGCATCAACACAACCCAAGCCATTCAAGGAAGCATCACAGTAGATCTCAAAATTACTATCATCTGGGAGTGTCAAAACAGGTGCATGAGTGAGACAATACTTCAGTTGCTGGAAACTCTACTCACAATTATCGTCCCACTCAAATCTAACGTCTTTTCTTGTCAACCTCGTTAGTGGTAATGTAATAACAGAAAAATCTTTAACAAACCGTCTATAATAACCTGCTAGACCAAGGAAACTTCGTACCTCTGTGACGGTTCGTGACTGCTCCCAATTCTCAACGACTGCTACCTTTTGATCTAACCAAAATTGGCATTTGCTAAACTTAGCATACAATTGATGTTCCCTCAATTTCTTCAACACCAAAGTAAATGTCGAACATGCTCTGCTTTAGACTTAAGAGTACACCAAAATATCGTCAAGTCCA